TTGGTATACTCTAAATCAAAAGCAAGGATATGTCAATATTATGATATTTGTCCTTAAGTGAAAAAAAATAAAAATTCGAGAGTAATAGATAAATACTTAACTGCAAACTAAATAAAATGTATAATCAGTTGTTTGTTTAATTTATTGACTAATTGATACATGCGAAAATAAATCTATCAACCAATTAGACATTTTTTTTGGTTGAATAGACATTATATTTTGTTTGACGACCAAATAATTTATCTATTAATCGAATACGGAATTAGTTCAGTGGTAATATCGCTAGTGTTGAAACTACAGTTTGTAGGTTTGAATATCTTAATTAACACGTAACTAAAAAAAAGACCCCTTATAGTAAAAAGAAAAAAAATTTTGATACATGAATTAAGCTACATGTTTTGGAGTTGAGTTGTACAAATGGTTGTTTGGTGACTTTAGTGCACATCGTTAACATTGAGAATTGTAGTGGGTTCATAACTGCCAAATCAGTAACTCCTTTAGAAATAAGGATTGTCAAAGGAATTTTAAAATGTATTTGGACACTAGGATTTTGGATTTTGTGTTTGTGATATGGAATTTCAAATTCTAAATAATTTATTGGATATTAAACGTATACATATCGTATATGTACAACATATCGTACTTGACTTTATCCAAATACATAAATTTCAAATACATATATATTTGGAGCACTTCTACTATGCTATATAGTATTGGTTCTTTAATGTAAAACTTGAAGTTGTACCATAACGTTAAATGTATAAGTTCAGGTTGTACCATAAAAGAATTTGTACAATTATATTATGGTACAACTTCACAACTTGAAGTTGTACCATCACATAAATGTACAAGTTCAAGTTGTACCATAAAAGAATTTGTACGAAAAGTATAGGTACAATCTGAAGTTGTACATAACGTTAAAGGTACAATTTCAAGTTGTACCATCAAGGCAAAAACATATAGCACCAATACAATATAGCATTGTAAAATTCCTCATATATTTGATGTATTAATTGTACATTTTAAATAGATAATTTCATATACATATTTTGTATATTTCAAGTATATATCAAGGTGGCGTATTCTGTGCACTTATTTTTTTGGGTGCATTCAATGCACTCGCCTCATAATCGTCATCCTGAGAATGTGATTCATGTGGAAACGGTATCGATCATTGCTTATGATATTATGAACAAGAAACACATGAATTTGTATGAAAATTATTTGAGATTTACTTAAATTTGAAGGATATAGGGTTTATGGATTTAGGGTTAGGGTTTAGGTTTACAATTTTGGGTTTAGGTTTGGGATTCAAAATGAAAGGTTAAGGGGTTAGGGCAATGAATTGATTAGTTGTGATTCTATGTTATATCATCATTTTATACTAATATTGTCAATTAAAATTCAAAATGTATTAAGACCACTTTGTAGTTGGGTGTATTGAATGAAACTAAAAAAGTGAGTACCGAAGTAGCCACTATTAGGGGTGGAAATCGGTACGGTATCGGTATCCCAATACCAAATACCGGAATCCCGAATACCGAATTACACCCTAAAGTCAATCCCAATCCCAATCCCTAAATAATTTTGGTATCCCAATCTCAATCCCTAAATATTTCGGTATCCCAATCGGTATTATCGAATACAAAATTAATTACCTTTGCAATTAATAACTAAATATATGAATTAGATTTTATTGTTTAATTTAGGGGGAAAAGACTAAGCAAAGAGTTTTTAATTAGGATATTATTAAGGAGAGTGGAGGAGTGGAGACATCTCAAATTCTTGTCATTGATAATTTTTAATTTGGCGAATTGGAGGTTGAGAGACGACTATTAATAGTGATGGAATGATCAGTGTATAATTAAATGACACTTTTGGTGGTTGAGAGTCATGTAGTAGTAAATGAGAGAGTCAAGTTGAGAGGATAAAATACAAACTAGCTTATATATCGGTAGTGATCGGTATTTTGGTATATCCCGATCCAATCCCGTAATCCCTAATATCGAATAACAATTGAAATTCAATCCCAATCCCAATCCCAAGAAATAATACATGTATTCGGTAATACCAAATATAGACAAATTCGGTACGGTATTTGGTATATCCCAAATACCGGTACCAAACTTCCGGCCCTAGCCACTATATACCAATAGTAAGTAATATGAATTCCTCACAACATAAAGAAGAACGATTTGTAAAAACTTTAGGACTTTGCTACGGTGACATGCATGTCACGGTGACATGCACTTTTCGGTCGACCTCATATAGGATCAGGTCGACCTAATATGTTGTTTTAGTGTAAAAACAGTTTCATGGTGCTACTTTGGAGATTCATATCTTACAATTGGCTAGATGGAAATTGGAGATTAAAGGCTTGTTTTGAAGCTGAAGTGTCCCTCTACACATTAAAGTACTTGGGAGCTCAATAGGAAGTCCAGAAGACCATTTTTGAACCTCATCAAAAGGCTATGCCAAAACTGGGAAACTGCCTGAAAATAGCTAAGTCTGGCAACGTGTTTGTCAAGCCTACTTTGGAGCTCAATTTGAGAAGAATGGATGCGAGTCAAGTCTAGGGGCCTCTACCACGTTAAATTACGTATTTTTTATACAAAGGCAAGGCATTGGATGAAAGATTGAATATCTTTAAGGCTTCAAACAAAAGGCTCGAAGTTGCTACGAAGGCTGTTTTCCTGGCCGCTTGCTTGTGCTCGAAGTCTGCCAGAAAATAGCCTTCGTAGCAACTTCGACCCTTTTGTTTGAAGCCTTACATATATCCAATCTTTTATCCAAAGCCTTGAATTTGTATAAAAACATACCTAATTTAACGTGGTAGAGGCTCCTGGACTCGACTCGCATTCATGCTTCTCGAATTGACCTCCAAAATAGGCTTCACAAACACGTTTCCATACTTAGCCATTTCCAGGCAGTTTCCCAGTTTTGGCATAGCCTTTTGATGAGGTTCAAAAATGGTCTTCTGGACTTCGTATCGAGCTCTCAATCACTTCAATATGTAGAGGGACACTTTAGCTTCAAAACAAGTCATTAGTCTTCAATTTCCATCTAGCCAATTGTATGATATGAATATCCAAAGTAGGCACCATGAACTGTTTTTACACTGAAACAACAGATTAGGTCGACCTGATCCTATATGAGGTCGACCGAATCCTAAATGAGGTTGGCCAGATCCTATATGAGGTCGACCAAATTCTAAATGAGGTCGACCTAATCCTAACTGAGGTCGACCGGAAAGTGCAAGTCACCGTGACATGCATGTCACCGTGACATGCATGTCACCATAGGCACACCCAAAACTTTAAAGCTGAGGTACTACATTGCAAGTAAAATTTAGATATTAAAATATAAAAGTTTTAAATTTTGTAAGGCTTGATCAACAAACTCCAAATTCAATAATAAAAATCATAAAAATCTGAAATACTCTAAAAGTAGTAAATCAATAACCGAAAAATGCACTTTGAATTATACATATGTCAAAATCTACAAATTCAAGATTTCAAATATATGTCGAAACATTTACTTCTACCAAGTGTTTATGGCTTTTCTTGGGTTACAACTAGATCGTCTCTTCACATCCATTTAAAAGTAAACTACTCGAGCACTTAACTTCGAGAATTAGGGTAAACATATCACTTAAGTTTGAATATGGCATCAGATACCATTAAAGTTGCTAAAATGTGCATCAGTTTACTTTTCCATTCAACTCAAACTTTTAATTACTTTTTATACCCTAAACTTTAAAAATATCCAAACTATATTTCAACCAAGTTTTTATCTAATATAATAATTAGAAAACCTTTTAAACATATTATTACTAGAATGACTAATCAAATATTTTTTAATAAAATAGATAAAATAGTAAAATTAGTAAACGAATATCAAGAAGAATAATAAATATGCTAGAATATAATAATAAATATTTAAAATAAATATTAGAATATCTATTTAAATTCACTAATTCAATTAGAAGCACCATTAAAAATAGTTAAAATAGTTTAAAAAAAATAGTTAAAATAGAACCTACCCCAATTCCAACTTAAGTGGAAACTAATTAATGTTTTACCCTATTAAAATTTAAATGGTATGTCTACCTCAATTCTCAATCTTAAGTATTGGATTTTATCTCTACATTTACTAACTATAAACTTATTACTGAAATGGCAAAACATTATTGGTAAGTGGTAGCTAATACGTGTCAAAATACTATCATTTTTTTTTTTTTTTAATGGGCATACTATCATTCTTTCAGAAACAATTCTGATCGATCCGCAGCTCAAATCCGAGTTTTGACTGCAGCAGAAAGGAATAAGGTGACAAGAACCGGATTTCTGCTTCTTTCCAAGCATCCGGTTGCGTTTTTTAGCTCAATCAGTTTGTCGGTCTTCTAGCCGTCGAGCCGACCTTGGGGCATCACTCTGCTGGCCCAGGACAGATATGAGTTCAATCAGTTTGCCGGTCTTCTTTCTCCTTTTATTCGTTACGAATCAACAAAATAACCAAAATTCAGTATCGATTGTCCAATTAAAATTCAGTATCCCACACCCTTGAAATATACTGGTCAGTGGTTATGAATCGTTCAGAACCATGTCGAGAGAGTAGTCAAATTCATGTTACTGGCAGTGACAATCTCCAATTTTCCAGAATGTATAAAAACCGTCTCACATCTCAGATATTCTCAGAACCCAATACAACTAAAGCCAACCGAAAGACAAACAAAGAAGAAAAGGAAGAGATAATTGCCTTTAGCTAATTCTACACCCTCGCCGGTAACAGAGCAACTTAGTTCTGCCAAACTGCAGGTGCACACACGACTATCAAAGAGATGGGACAAACTCCACAAATCCAACTTCAAGTGATGGGTAAATCTCTGTTTCAATCCAAGTATTAACACTGAACATTAAATTTCAATCTCTAGAAATGGTCTCCACTTGACTCTGTTTTACTATGATCGGTGATGTAACAAATTAACAGGCGACCGTCATCAATATGATCATTACGAACCAAGCAAAGAAGAGATCAATGTGCCATTGGCCAGCAGTTTGAAGACGAAGCAGGACACCCCAAAAGATTTCTGGTGGTGGCTCAAAATCGCGCTCTACACGGTAGGCGTGCTGTTGGGACAATCCGCCGCGCTTCTACTGGGAAGGCTCTACTTCCTCAAAGGAGGGAACAGCAAATGGATGTCATCAGTGGTCCAAGTCCTCGGCTTCCCGGTCCTCATCCCCTTCTACATCTTCATCACAATGAAAGAAGGGCAGAAAGGCGTGGCAATCGACGACGAGGACGACGACGATAGAAAGCCTCCATCTCCCTACACTCTGGGCGCGATCTACGCATCCCTCGGCTTAATCATAGGGCTCAACTGCTTCCTCTACTCCGTCGGGCTGCAAAACCTCCCTGTCTCAACTTACACATTGTTGTGCGCTTCTCAATTGGCATTCAATTCCTTCTTCTCCTACTTCATCAACGGCCAGAAATTCACCCCGTTCGTCGTCAACTCCCTCGTCCTCCTCACCATCTCCTCTGTTTTGCTCGTGTTCAACAAAGACGACACGAGCTCCTCGTCCACGGCGCCCGCGATCTCGAGGGTCAAGTACATCATCGGCTTCCTCTGCACATTGACGTCATCGGCGCTCTACGGCGTCGTGTTGTCGGTCACGCAGTTCGTGTTCACTAGAGTTGTGAAGCGGCAGACGTTCAAGCAGGTGATGGAGATGATCATCACGGAGAATGTGGTTGCCAGCGTGGTCACGGTCGTGGGGCTTTTCGCCAGCGGGGAGTGGAGGTCCATCGACAGGGAGATGGATGCGTATCGATTGGGGACGGTGCCGTATCTGATGGTGTTGATCTGGATCGCCGTGTTCTGGCAGATGTTTTCCATCGGAGCTGTGGGCTTGATATTTGAGGTGTCTTCTCTGTTCTCCAATTCGATAAGCGCGGTGGGACTGCCCATTGTGCCCATCATGGCGGTCTTCTTTTTCAACGATAAGATGAACGGGATCAAGGGGGTTTCCATGGCGTTGGCCGTCTGGGGATTTGTTTCGTATGTGTACCAGTATTACGTGGATGGTCAGAAATCCGACAAGAAGACACTGGATGAGGCCTCTTCTTAAAGTTCCTGATGGAAATGAAAAAAAAATTCTCTAGGTAACAATGTGTCTATTCATTATTCTGTTATTGTGGTTGATTTCCCCACCCCAAGTTTACAATTCAATTATGTAAGGATCACCAAATTTATGTTGTTGTTATAATAAAGATTCACAATGAAGTCTGTTGCTTGTTAAAGTTGCCGATGTGTTTCGTGGGTTATGAATTATGGTCAGTTAGGTGGCCTGAAAAATCACCGGACTCAACTATTGTTGTTTTTTTTTCACTGAAAAAAAAAAATGATTTGTATATCAGAATCGACAATGGGTGTTGTCTACTTAAGGAAAAAAGGGGGAAAAATTGAGTTTGGTCTATCTAAAGAGAACAAATAAGTAAGACCTGTGAAACCAAATGATATCAAACTCAACACAAGTCTGCAAAGAAGATTGTTATATTGTTTGCTTAAATAATCATCGTCCCCAAAACATTTTAAGGGGTCAAAATAGGGTATGAAGCATGGATATTTAACAAAAAATCATATATCTTTTACTAAACAAATCAAGTGGTGGCTAAAAGTCCTAACCTACGCAGCCGTCATACTCATCAGCCAAACAACCAACCTCCTTCTCGCCAGGCTCTACTTCGTCAAAGGCGGAACCAGCAAATGGCTCTCCACAACCGTCCAGCTCGCAGGCTTTCCTCTCCTCGTCCCTTACTACATCTACACCAACCGCCGCCACCTCAACTTCACCAAACCGCATCACCATAACCAACCACAACCAGACATCCATTCAGCCTCCAACGTAACACACAGAGCATTCTACATAATCGTCGACCTCCTCATCGGCGGAAACACATACCTCTACTCAACGGGCATCGACTACCTCCCTGTCTTGACCTTCTTCTCCTACTTCATCAACTCCCAAAAGTCCACCCCTCTCATCGCCAACTCCCCCTTCCTCCTCACCATCTCCTCCATCCTCCTCATCTTCGTCGGGGACCCCACCACCGACCCCCTTGGCATCACCAAGGCCAAGTACGCTAGGGTTCGTCTGCACCCTCGCCTCCGCCGCAGGGGTTGGGATCTTCTTCTCCATCTCCGAGTATGCTTTTCAGGAAAGTTTTGAAAGAGAGAGTTTGAATGTGATGAACATGTTGTTTCTGTTAGACATTATGCTACTGTCGTTTTGTCTTTCTACCTTTCTAGAGTCGTTTTCGGCTTTATAGCTTGTCGTTAGCTAGTTTGGCCCATGTTTGTATCTTGGAGTTTGGGCCCATGCAGAGTAAGGAGTGGGAGACGTCAGTTGTTACCCTAATCCTAGCCGAGTTTGGGATATAGGGAGAGTGAGGTAGTTGTATTCGGCAACACAAACAATCATCTCTAGTAACATCAGTAGCTGAGGAGTTTTCTATATCCTCCGTGGATTAGTCCTAGGAAACCAGGGACACCACGTAAATCCGTCTGTCCCGTCAACTGCTTTCCATCTCCAGTGACATCAGCAGTTGATACATCCACGTTATCACTCATAGGTTTTACATCTAATATGGTCCATTGAAATTATATAACACGACTTTATACATCACAATCGAGTTATTGGATCCCCTTACATTAATTTTGCTACGTTGTCACGGTACATCTAAGAGAATCATCTCGTTGGCGTTAACGATAGTTGGATCATATATTAATACTTCAAGACAATTAGATGAACGCGATGACATTTATTTGCAAATTAGCATTGAAGGCTGATCGAGCAACCTCTAGCATTCTCAGAGATGGGCGTTAAAGCACTTTGCCACCCAGCACAGGTGCCAACTAGCACTAGGGTTGGGCATGCGGGCGGGTCACCCGCGGGTTTGGGTCGATCCCCCCATATTTGACCCAATTTTTGTTATGTGGTGGGTCTATGGATGAGTGATGGGTAGGAATGGCAATGGGGCAGGTCCGGGGCGGGTTTCTTGGTACCCAGACCCACCCCGTGGCAGGGCGGGTCCAGGTCGGGTAATTGATCACGGGTCGCGGGTCGGGGCAGGTCGACCCAATGGGTATGCAATTTATTTGAAAAATATTAAAAATATTCGTTATTTTTATTGTAAAACTAAGAAAATAAACAATATTATGACAATTGTAGTTAAATTATTGGAGAAATTGAGGTTTTCACTAATTTACAACTTTATTATAGCTAACATATGATGCGATAAAAGTAAAATTCAAAGTAATTTGACTAAGATTTCATGTAATTTAGACAAGAACGGGTCGAGAATGGGGCGGGTCAGGGCAGGTCGGGTCGATGAGACTACCCATGCCCGCTCCGCCCCGCCTACGGGGCGGGTCGGACCCGCCCCAAAACAGGTCAAACAGGTCGGGTAAAACGGGTCAGGTCGAAATTGCCATCCCTAGTGATGGGTTGTGCTGGGTGACATCCGCAGGGTGGCGGGTGGGTTGTGGGCGAGTGCGCGGGTGACCCGCTCAACCCAACAGCAAAAAGACAAGAAGTCATTGGCGTTTGAGAGTGGAGACGCTGATGAAAACTAGGGCTATTCCTGGAGATTGAATCTCAACGCCAATCTTCCAAATCTCGCTTCCCTCTTCTTCCCTTTATTTTTTTCTTTGATTCTTGTGCCCGAATCACCTCTCTTTCCTCCGTTGAGTTATTTTTCTAAGTTTTCTGCACCGATAATCATCTCCATCCGTACAAATCTCATCCATAATAGAATTTATATCCAATTTCAGAACTAATTTGACATTTTTTCTTCCTATTCCATCTTCTTGTTTCCGCCCGACAACTCTCCACCAATTATCTTGCCACTTGAAGTGAATCTCAAATTTGGAGGGTGAATGGATGTTGAAATGAATTTTTATTTTACTTATTGAAATCACATAGGGGATCCTGAAATATAAATGGATCATGTCAATTTGACTGCTTTATATTATGTACATTGTGATGTGTGTGCATGGGCATTAGGCCGTGCTTGGGCCGGCACGGCACGGGCACGCTTCGGGCCCCATTTATTTCGTGTCGTGCTTGGCACGAGTCGTCAGTTTACGTGTCGTGCCATGCCCATTTGTCAACTTTGTTAGGCCCGACCCAGGCCCGGTTCGAATTGTGTCGTGCCTATTCGTGCTCGTGCCATGCTCGTATTCGTGTTTAATGAAAAGGACGAAAACAAAAGAGAGAATAAAAAGAATGTGAAAATTGGACGGGGGAAGATAGTATTAACCGATAATGTTTGAGAAAAGTAACAAATAGGGGGGAAAAGAAAATTGAAAGTATAGCGTGTGTGATTTGGCTTTGCTTAATTCTTTGTTCATTTTTACTTATGTTAGTAATTACGTATATATCTTTATGACACTTCTAACAACAACAAATAATTATTTTTCTACTTGTGTTTTGTAATATTTGAACCTATAATTCTTTTTATACTTATTTTCTATCAAATAAATATTATTTTCGTGCCATGTCCGTTCTTATACTCAATAAAGTCTCGAAAATATTAGGCCCGACACGACTCACTTATATACCGTGTCGTGCCCGTGCTCATGCCCATGAAGTTTAGGCCCGACACGGCTCCCTTATATACCGTGTCGTGCCCGTGCTCATGCCCATGAAGTTTAGGCCCAACACGGCCCATAAATTGTTCGTGCTCGTGCCGGGCTGGCTCATTTATTTCGTGCTCGTGTCGTGTCGTGCTAGCCCGTGGGCGGCACGGCCTGGTGCCCACGTACATGTGTGAACCCGCAAATCCACCCACATCATCCGCCATCCACCCGACCCATCCCAACCCAAGACTAACGCTCTGTTTAGAAAGAGGTGTAATTAAGGGGAGGAGCAAAATCCAGGCGTAAATTGTCTTCCCGATGCGTTTGCCCCTGTTTGGCAAACTTTTGAACAGTAGGGGGGCGGAAGATACGAGGCGCAAATATACTGTTCCAGTAAGCCCCCCAAATTTGGGCGGAAGTGGAGAGAGAAAAGTTTGGAACGTTTAACACTTTTTCCTTAATTTTTTCTTCCACGGCAACTACAGCAAGCGGCCATCTCTTCTCTGTTAGATCTTCAACCATTCTCAACGGCGACGTTGATTGTCGATCCAGAATCTGGTGGTGGATCCCTCTATTTCTCCCTACCGGCGGCGGCTCCCTCTGTTTCTCCCTACGTCGGCGGCGCCCTCTGTTTCTCCCGATCGGTGGCGCTCCTCCGTACCGGCGGCGGCGCCCTCGTTTTCTCCGTACTGCCGATGGGAGAGAGTCGGAGAGGGAAAGAGAGAGGAGTTCTCCGTCGAGGTCGATTATTTTGATCGAAAGGATTGGGGAGAGAGAGAAAGGGAGAGAGAGAAAGAAAAGGAAGGCGGAAAGAGGAAGTTGAACGTATGATTGAGAAAGAAAAGGTTATGCGAGTGGAAGAAAAGAAAAAGGAAAAAATTAAGTTTCCAATTTCCTATTAATTTTTCTAAATATTATTAATTAATACATCTCACACACCAATTTGCATCCTCCTACTTTTTCTTCCAAACAACGATTTACCCATTAATTTGCACCCTTTTTAATTTACCCCCTCCTCTAATTTACACCTTAGTTTGCACCCTTCTCGAATTTGCACCCCCTCTTTACCAAACGGAGTGTAAATGTGAATGGGTAGTGGGTCAAAAAGTTGTCAATCTATTTAAACACAAGTGGGTGCATTTTATACTCAAAATCCACCCGACCCAATCCAATGCCCACTAACTGGCACGTCCCAACCGGCCCATATCTGGTCGCTCCGTAACAAGACTGGGTTAATCCCCAGGCCCAAACATTATGGACCGTTCGATCCGGTTTGGATAAGATAAATTAATATGACATCAGAAATCTATACCACGTGGCAGTAGGCCAGTAGTAGCTAGCTAGCGATCAGCGTGTTGTTCTCTTCTCTCGTCTCCCCGAGTCCCCGTGAAATCAAACTTTTTCTTACAGTGTTAAACAAAAAATAAAATAAATCAAAATCTGAAATTTCTGGACCCAATCCGGGAGGCAACAGATATAATTTGATGTGCCGCCAGCGTGACCGCTTTTCCCGGTGAGCAAGTAACCGTAGATACCGTTACACAGTCATCTAGGCTGCCTGGTATTTGTGGAGAGAGCAGGAGGTTAGAATGAGCCAGTGAGCTCTGAGCGCTGAGCGATCGAGTTAGTCTGTGCTGTGGGAGTCGGCTTCAATGGCGACGAAGCTATCGACCTGCTTTGTCAGCCAAGCTTTTGCAGGTTTCAGCTATGGCAGTCACTCAAATGTCCGCTTCTCGCCTCCTCAACATCATCACCTCCTTTTCCCTGCTACTTGCAAGATGCGCCATCGCCATTTAGGGTGCTTCTTTTTTCCTTCCACGCCATTTTCTACTAAGCAGTTTCTTCTAAATTTCTTATTCTACTGGTTGGAACTATATGCGATCTTGATTTCTTGCAGCTACCGCTACCAGCTCAAGAAACGGCAGTTCAAGAAAGCCTCCAACGAACAGACTCCGCCGGCGGCAGAATCGCTCTCCGACCTGGAGAAAGAGGCCGCTTCGTCGAGTACTGTCAATCGCCGCCGTTTGAATCCTGAAATCGCGCCAAATGACGACACCAGAGCTACTAGCACGAGTGACGAGCGTAAGGAGCACGGCGCCAGTGGAACTGATACGGCGAGCAGTGAAGAGCAGAAGGATTACGTCAACGGAGAAGAAGAATCGGAGACCACAGTAGAGGTGGAACACGTCCACGATGACGAGTCTCAGCTTCGCGAGAGGATTGCTGTAATTGAAGAAGCGAAATCTCTGGTACCTCCCTTGACCTAGAGTAGAGCTGTTATATGCATATATGGTTAGTATTCCATCGATAACGAGCAATGGCTTCTATTAAGAGCGGTCTCTTCCTTTCCTTTACCTACCAGGCCTTAACTCTGAATGTAGATGGTGAGGAAAAGCGACTTTCAGGCTTTCAGTTGCAGGATCTGATAGGCATGATAAGAAACGCAGATAAGAGTGAGTTTTATTGATTTTCCTTTTCGCAATTATGTACAAATTAGGTTTAGTGTGGGTAAATTAATCTGTGATACTTCGATTGCTAGATGTCCTTCTTCTCAACGATGCTAGGGTTCGTGCTCTTGAGGATCTTAATAGAATTCTTGCTGAGAAGGAATCGTTGCAAGGAGAAATGAACGTTTTGGAGACAAGATTGGCCGAAACTGATGCACGATTGAAGGTTGCTGCGCAAGAGAAGATACATGTGGAACTCCTAGAGATCCAGTTAGATAAACTAAGGAATGAGCTCACTCACAGGAGTCCTGCCACAGATGTGCTTCATCAGCTTGAGAACCAGAACAAGCAAACAGACGCTGATGCTAATTCTCTGAGTAAGGAGCTTAGTTCATTGAGAACAGAGAATATGTTTCTGAAACAGGATATGGAAGCACTTAAAGCTGATCTAAGTGCGGTCAAGAACACTGGTCAGCGTGTCATAACACTCGAGAAGGAGCGATATACAATTGAGTCCTCTTTAAAGGACCTGGAATCGAAAGTGTCATCTTCTCAGGCAGATGAATGTAAGGATTTGTGGGAGAGAGTTGAGAGTTTGCAGTCCTTACTAAAAAAGGCAACCAAGCAGGCAGATCAAGCTATCTTAGTGTTGCAGCAAAACCAAGAGCTCCGGAAGAAGGTGGACAAGTTGGAAGATTCTTTAGAAGATGCCAATATCTACAAGCTCTCATCTCAAAGGCAGCAGCAATACAATGAACTAATGCAGCAAAAGATAAAGCTATTGGAAGAACACCTTCAAAGGTCTGATGAAGAGATACAGTCTCATGTACAATTCTACCAAGAATCTGTGCATGAATTTCAGGATACACTGAACAAATTGATAGAAGAAAGCAAGAAAAGGGCTCTAGACGGACCAGTAGATCATATGCCATGGGAGTTTTGGAGCCGTTTGTTGCTAAAAATTGATGGCTGGCTACTGGAGAAAAAAGTATCACCAGATGATGCAAAGCTGCTTAGAGAGCTGGTATGGAAGCGAGAGAGGAAAGTTTATGATGTATACATGCAGTGTAGAGAGAAGAATGAGCAAGATTCCATATCCATGTTCCTGAAGCTCACTTCAGGACCTAAAAGGTAGATCCTTGAAATAGTACTTGCTACCATATGAATTCAGCTCCTTAATTGACAGCTTTGTTCGATGTTTAGTCCAGGGTTGCATGTCATTCATATAGCAGCAGAAATGGCTCCAGTTGCTAAGGTGAGTTTGACAGGCCACATATTGCTTGAGGGTGAACAAGGTTTCTGTAAAGCTGAATATTGTTGCTTTAGTTCTTTCCTTGGATTTCCAAGTCTTTGTACAAACGGATGAATTTATCGTTCTCATCAAGTCTTTTGAAATCTTAGTTTCTTTAACAAACTAATCTGTAGTAAGGACACCAGTTTGCCTCTTTTCTCTTGCATGATTCCAGAATGTTGCTCTTAGTAAGAAAAACAATTTGTTACATCTCCCAGGTTGGTGGTTTAGGAGATGTTATCAGTGGACTTGGTAAAGCACTACAAAAGAGAGGACACCTTGTGGAGATTATTCTGCCCAAATATGACTGCATGGAGTATGATCGAATATCTGACTTAAAGGTCCGGTATCTGGTGATTTAGGAAATTACTGAGAACGGGTTGTGCTTTTTATGATGGTTCTTAACATTCTATTCCTTCACATAGGCCATAGATCTTGTGGTAGAGTCATACTTCGAAGGCAAATTGTACAAAAACAAGATCTGGACTGGCGTTGTTGAAGGTTTGTGAACTTTCATTGCCTCAGTCAGTTGCATACTGTGCGTCTTCATTAAGATGTGCCATTTAATTACAACTTTTCAATTGCTGCAGGTCTCCCTGTATACTTCATTGAGCCACTTCACCCTGCAAAGTTCTTTTGGCGAGGGGAGTACTACGGGGAACACGATGATTTCAAGCGCTTCTCGTTTTTCAGTCGTGCAGCACTCGAGCTACTTCTTCAAACCGGCAAAAGACCTGACATAATTCATTGCCACGATTGGCAGACAGCTTTTATTGTATGATTCAATAATGTTATAATTTCACACAATTTTCTTTTATTGGTAAACCAGTAAATTGGACATGATACTAAAAAACCTCTTTTGTCTATTTCAGGCCCCTCTTTACTGGGACATTTATAACCCGAAAGGACTAAACTCAGCTAGAATATGTTTCACGTGTCACAACTTTGAGTACCAAGGAACTGCACCAGCTTCAGAACTGGCTGCATGTGGTCTTAACGTCCATCAGCTCAATAGACCGGATAGAATGCAGGACAACTCGGCCCATGATAGGGTGAATCCTGTTAAGGTATTGCATTTGTCTTGTTCACAAACGAGCATACTCCAGAAGAAATAAAGCAACCCTGAAGATTTATGAACATGCTTATGAGACCTGTGATCTTTTTTTTTTAGGGCGCTGTGGTGTTCTCGAACATCGTGACAACAGTATCACCTACCTATGCCGGAGAAGTTCGGACGGCAGAGGTATGGACTTCACTTCTAACTGGTTATAGCAAAATTGGAACATGTTCTACCAGATGCTATATTTCGTTAATAGAATTAGTGAGGAACACATGGCTCAGACAGTACCGTGGAGGAAAGGCAAATTTGTTGTATTCAATCATGGAAAATTGTTCAACTTCTTATAATAGTTTAGTTATAGTTGAACTTGAGACAAGAATCTGAAAATCAGAAACTGTGTTCATTGCTTTAACTTGGTGAGTAATAATGGAAAGGAGGGAGGAACATGGAGGAAAGTTGGACACTGGCTTCTTCTACTATTTGGGTGTTGAACATAATGCCAGATGGTTGAAATATTGCTAATTTACTTTTAGGAGAGCACCCCACTTAAGAATTGAATGACACTGCTTGTGTATGAAATGCCTTGCAAGTGACAATGTAATGTTCTAGTGACAGGTTACTTTTCCCTTTGGAAACAGAAACTTATCTTTTGGCTCCCATTTCCACTTCATGCATCGAATTGCTAGTAAGCTGTGCATTTGGTTTGGTTATTTGAAAATGGATGTTATTGGTCCAATGACATGTTATTTAATTTCCCTGCTATTAGATATGATATATTGTTTCGTTTAATGCATATGTGGACGGTGTTCTTTGAGAAGCGAAAGAATATATGGATTCATTTATTCTAGTGTGCACTGGTCAAATCCTTCTACCCCTCAAGTATTTGAGATGAGCTGTGTTTTGATCCATCACATTAAGAAAATAGTGTTTTGATGCTTACGATCACCAAAAGTAGTGTAAGGCTGCCCGAAGTACTCCCCAACCAAACAATGATAGGACGTTCCTAGTTTGTTCGTTTTGGTATTGTACTCATATGCACGGTTTATTTCATCTGCCACGATAAATTTTTCCTATATAAAGTGGAATGATAAAGGTGTGTTAATATATGATCTCCAGACCTTTCAAAATGAATGTACTATTCTCCTCCTTTCATCTATTGCATTTGAATTGTTAAAATTCAGTTTCTCCTGTGTCCTTTACAGGGTGGTAAAGGTCTCCATTCAACTCTCGTCTCCCACTCCAAGAAGTTTATTGGAATTCTTAATGGAATTGATGGTGGTGCTTGGAATCCTTCGACCGATTCTCTCCTCGCTGTCCAGTACAGTTCCAATGATCTTCAGGGGAAAGCACAAAATAAAACAGCAATAAGAAGGCAGCTGGGACTTTCCACTGCCAAGCTCAGGCAACCATTGGTAATCTTCCTTTACTCATCATCATGTTCACTTTTCTCTAAGGAAGCAACAACTTCCTAAAATAGTAATGAGATCAACTGACTTGTCATAAATAAAGAAAAAATAAAAATGAGATTTTATGACTAATCATATGAACTAAGATATTTTCATTGGTAAAAAAAGAGTAGATATGTACTGCAATCTGTCAACCATTCAAAATATCCAGAGCTTAGTGCCAGAACATGCATAAAATTTTATGGTTAAGCACTTCTCTGTTTTTATACATGATACTAGTCTTCTCTGTTTTATAATTGATGTTAGGCACCTCTCTGTTTTTATAAGTGATGTTAAGCACTTCTTTTCTATGCAATGCATTGTAGAGAGACTTGAAGGAGAAGCTAAATCAAAGGTCATCCGACAGTTAGACATACTAACAATTGTTGTTTGAAATACTAGTATTTGTGTAAATATTGGTCTGGTTAAGTAACAGGAAGATAGATAACAGTAACTTAAAACGAAACTGGAACCGTTAATACTAGAATGATTTCAGGTAATCGTTTCACCAGTTCAGTTTTCCAAAAATCAAAATCAGTTAGCTAATTTAGTACTTATGTAGTACATTCTCTACACATGAGAATTCAGGCTAATTTATCTGTTTTCCATGAACCTTTTCCATATGTGAAGGTGTTTCTGGTTTTGTATATATCAGGTTGGCTGCATAACAAGATTGGTGCCGCAAAAAGGTGTGCATCTCATTCGGCATGCAATTTACAGAACATTAGAACTTGGGGGTCAGTTCGTGCTGCTTGGATCTAGCCCAGTTCCGCATATTCAGGTACTTCCTGTTTCTTCACTTGCAATCAACCCTAGTCACTAGCATCTAATAAATGCCATCTATCACTTAAGCTAAAGCGAACATACATAATTAACATGTATAGAGCTGGCACCTCCTATCTTTCTGTGTATAATATGTTCAAAGCACAATTTCTAACAACTACCACTGGTAATGCATGTGAAATAATATACTTTATCCCTCTCTTTAACAGCAAGAATTTGAGGGTATTGCAAACAACCTTCGAGACAGCGAACATGCTAGGCTGATATTGAAGTATGACGAAGCACTGTCCCATTCCATATATGCAGCATCTGACATGTTCATCATCCCATCCATCTTCGAGCCTTGCGGCCTTACACAGGTACCGAATATCAAAATTACAAAGAGTATGAGTTTAGTTTTTGCCAATAAGTGATTATTGGTAGTTTTAATAGAAGGGAAGAGAAAAGGTTTTCTGTTGGATTTCAGAAATGTTTTTTGGTGCATGGCTGGACAGCCTGCAGAGGCACTCCATATAAAAGCTGAAGCCTTATTACAGTAACTGGCCTGAGGCCATTCACCCAGGCTTCACCATAGCATATCCATCAAAACAAGCACAGAAACACTTGTTTGTTATTGCAACTTAAGTTGCACTTCTCTTACACTGAAACCTTGATTGTCTCCTGCAGATGATTGCTATGCGATATGGTTCAGTACCGATTGTAAGGAAGACAGGTGGCCTAAATGACAGGTAGAGAGCCTGATTCCCTGACGTAGTGGGATATGATAACCATTAGGCATATAATTAATTCTTCTTTCAAAAAGACAAAGTTCTCGACCATCACACTAACCCCCTTGAATTTTCCTCCTTTCTGCAGCGTCTTTGATGTCGACGATGATGCCATACCTCTCCAGTATCGTAATGGGTTCACCTTCTTGGATCCTAATGAACAGGTACGTGTGTATGCAAGCCTTGTCCAAAATAACTAAGTGGTACCAGACCACTAAGTTGCAATACTGAATCTTCAACATGGATTTTTACAGGCATTCAATGCTGCCTTGGAGCGAGCTTTTGAACATTATTGGAACGACGTGAAAGGTTGGGAAGACCTCGTCCGAAAAATCATGGAGATGGATTTCAGTTGGGAAACTTCTGCTGCTCAATACGAGGACCTCTACTCCAAGTCCGTGGCCAGGGCTAGGGCTGCTGCTGCTAGCAACAGACCATGACATTGACATGACCCTACACAACCTCATCTACCTGTTAGTACCCGATTTGATTCTTTTGTCCATAGAAACAGGGGATACTATCTTTACGCTGCACATATCTTTTCACTTGCATGTTGTAGACCAGCCTATAATGCAACGTACATGCTGGTCTACGGTATAATGACTTTGGAAACCATGATAGTTCAAAACGTAGTACTACATATACAATGATCTTATATACCAATTACTGAAGAACAGTCAATACAGTGGTTAGTTTTTCGTTTTTCCAGTAAAAATGGTTGCTCGGTTGTGTTAATTTGCTTCAAAAATTCTGCACACCTAATTTGATTTCTGAAAAAACATGTAAGCCGTGAAAAATTTATTAGTAATTGCATCATGTGAATTATTGTGGGACTTACGTCCAGTAGTGTAAGAACCTCCTTAAACTACTCCCATATTTGGTTGATTCAGAGCCATGATTCGCAATTTTGTCAAAATCTAAAATCACATCGCTATTCATTTTAAGAAAACACAATACTGCATTCATTTGTTTCCATTACGCACTCAGTTATTTACTGCTATTAATCCTGACTACATCACTGCTTCTTCTTGTTAGTGTTCATTACTTAATTTTATACATCCATTAAGGAATAAATTATTCACCTAAAGAATTCCAGAAACAAAAACAGAAAAGAGGGGAAAAGGAAGTGTTGCAGAGCCTCAAAGCCCTGTTCTTTCTTCCTTTCTATCCTAAACTCTATCCAAAATAAAAAAAGAAAACCAACAACATTATTCACATATGGCATCACCTGAAGATCCGAACTTCTTCAATAACAAAAAACTTTTGCCAAAACTTGTAACTTCTTCACGAAGGCAGAGGAGTGCAAGAAGAAGCAGGAGGAGCGGCCAGTTTCGCGAGATGCGTTGGGTGCTCATCTCCAGCCATGATCACAACGATCTCAGTCTGTTCCGAACAGCCGATCTTCCCTTCCGGAGACTGTGCCGCCTTTGCCGACGACACAGAGGAGCTACTGGGCTTATGATCCGAGCAGCAGAGGGTCACCAGAGCAACTAAGAAGGAGAAGAAGGCAAACAAGGCGATGGAGACGATAATGGTTACAGTCTCCGCACTCCACTTCATTGCTCCACTAGAATCATTTGTTATCGACCCATAACCTGGATTCATGTTTTGTTTCTGGTTTTGATTCGGTATTGTTGTTTGATTTATTTTGTGGGTTCTCTTATAACTTTGAAACAGTGTTGAGGGAAGGAACTGAAATTATGAGTTGATTGAGATCTCCAACGAGAGTATGGTCAAGGGACGGAATATAAGTTGATGGATTGGCAGAAACTCTGCCCCAATTGGTGAGAATTTCCGTGAAAAACAATGTTTGGGGGATCGCTACAAGATCCCAAACTTTGTTCCTAGTGTGCATAATCACTGATATATGGCGTCTTTGACGCAACTAAGCTATCATGATTGCTACCGCCATTGTAATCTGAAGATGTTGGTTGGCGAGACTCGAAACTCAGAAAAGGAGATAGCAGATTGAACACGCACAAAAGTCACATCATTTCCATTAGTCGATTCCAAATTTACATCACAAAACCCAAGATCAGATTCAGCAAGCACCACACACAAGGGAAAAATTCGAAGCTCTCCTCTCAAATCTCTCACTTTCCGGGGACGAAGTTGGTGGCGAAAGCCCAGGCGTTGTTGCTGACCGGATCGGCGATGTGGTCGGCCAAGTTCTCCAAGGGTCCCTTTCCGGTGACGATGGCCTGGACGAAGAACCCGAACATGGAGAACATAGCCAACCGGCCGTTCTTGATCTCCTTCACCTTCAACTCGGCGAAAGCCTCGGGGTCGTCGGCGAGGCCCAAGGGGTCGAAGCTGCCACCGGGGTAGAGCGGGTCGACGACGTCACCGAGTGGTCCACCGGCGACACGGTAACCCTCGACGGCGCCCATGAGGATGACCTGGCAGGCCCAGATGGCCAAGATGCTCTGAGCGTGGATCAGGCTTGGGTTGCCCAAGTAGTCAAGCCCACCTTCGCTGAAGATTTGGGCCCCGGCCTTGAACCACACGGCCTCACCGAACTTGACTCCGTTGCGGGCCAACAGCTCGGGGAAGACGCAGCCCAGAGCGCCAAGCATGGCCCACCTGCAGTGAATCACTTCCAGCTCCCTGTTCTTGGCGAATGTCTCTGGGTCGGCGGAAAGCCCGGCGGTGTCCCAGCCGTAGTCGCCGGGGAACTCGCCAGTGAGGTATGATGGGGCCTCGCCGGAGAATGGGCCCAAGTACTTGACGCGGTCTGGGCCGTACCATGGGCTTCCGGAGGAAACCTGCTTGACCTTGCCGGCGGTCTTCCTCATCACGATCCGGCCGCCGTCCATGAGCTCGGAGGCGGAAGGGGAGAGCTTCACGGCCTTGCCGGCGAATGAGGGAGAGGAGAGAGCCATGGTTGCGGCGGCCATTTCGGAAATTGGGAAGGGGATGGAAAGCTCTTAAGATGTAATGAAAGAATGAGAAGACTGTGTTTGAAGATGGAAGTGAGGAATTGTGATGCAGGGGAGGCAGGTATTTGTATAGGAAGGACTGGTTATCGGAAATCTGGGCAACGATAGGAAGGGGAACTGTTGGAGAGTATCTTATCTTGAGGCTATCTATATCTGTGATCTCATTGGAGGGCAAAGATTTTTGGGGTTTGTCGTCAGCATCCTACTTGGCACACGTCTAAGCCACAAGAGTTTCCGCAGTCAAATTAAAATATTTTTTCTACATGCTCTTGTGTTGGCAGTTTGTACGAATGATGGGAGGGTTGGGATTTGTATGATAAAGACGGGGAAATTGGGTGATGAGATTAGAGCAAGGTTAACTGGTTAAGGTGGCAAATTTTGCATAAACTCAATTCAATCCATCTGGTAAAATATCGATTTAATCCACTTCAACTGAATTGGTGGATTTATATCATTAGGATAGTTTGACAAAATATATGATTCAATCGATTTATACCAATTCATGATTGTTTAAGTGTTGCAAAAAATTTTCTCAGTAATTAGAGTTGCAAATTTTAAGTATTGGTCCAAAACAACTATCTATTATCATCTCATAAAATCATACTTAAATGGGCCCAAAATATTTTCACTTTGGGAAACAAGAATCGAAGTTCAAAAAAATATAGTTCAAGTGTGGATTTGAATGCAACAAAATACGTTCACTTTGGAAAAAACTTATATGTGGCAAACTTTACAATACAACGTGAAGTAATACTTTATCTCGATTCGTATGACATGTGAAACTTCATAAAAAATTAAGGAATTCATAAATGCACCAGACTTGATCCTTTTTTTAAAATAACTTGATCTTAGGTCTCATTCCATTTTATATGTGATTATGCATGAATTCGTTCTTATAATCAATTATTCATATCACATTTCTAAACATATATAAGTTTTACAATTCTTGAATCGATAGTTCAATAATCCCTTGGCCATCTGTTACGGTAGATGTGGTCCATCAACACCTACAACCACGCAAAATCTCCAATGAAGAAATAAAAACATAATTGATATTTCAATTTGGTAATGAAGGAGATGCCATGCCACCTCATTCCATGATCTATCTAATATCTCTGCCACTATCCTCAAGCACACGTGACACCTCTACATTGGATGGAACTCACACCCCACTACATTTCAGCCGAGCCAGATTTTTCTGCTGCTCCTGGCAAACTTGCAAGGTTTGATAACATAATTGGTGCAAGTGTAAAGGGAGATAAGGCTTGATTTTAGGTTTAGCAGAAAGAAAAGAAAAGGAACGCAAAGGATAGAGAGGAAGAAGACGAAGTGAATGAAGCTTGGAAGCTTCTGTGTAGTCGTCTCTTGGTCTCTATTAAACAAACAAATGGGCTCTAAGCCCAAACAAAACAAATGATAAATATAAACTAAATACTGGACTTGAGAATTAAACTAGCAGTAACCTACCGTCCAAAAGCCTACACGAATTCAATTGCTTTGAATTGATTTCAGCTGCAGGGACAAAAGCTCTCTGTTTTTTTCCCCCCCAAAGATATCCCGAAGGGGAATACCGCAAATACAACATAATAAAAGGACCTTTACAGGTCAATTACAAAGAGGAATTAAGGAAGAGGCGCTGGTCGACCAACCGACGATCCAACGATGAGAGGGCTTTTTTCGCCACGATATGGGCAGCCCTATTGTACTTACGTGGAGCGAAGTGGAACGATACTCGCTGCATGGAGACACGAAGCACCTGGATCTCTGCAAGGAGGCTACCACCCAAAACATGGCTTGAATCCTTACGATTTATCATTTGAATGATCACCTATGCGTCACCACAGAATGAGACATTAGAAATTGAATTAGAGAGACACCACCGGAGAGCATCCCGGAGGGCCAACAGCTCAATGATGAATGCGTCATCCATATAGTCGTAAAATTTTCCAAATGCAAAAAGAATAGCCGTTGGTCCTGAAAACCCAACGAAACCAACTCCTCCCCCAATACTGGTTTTTGTAGCGCCATCAAAATGGACGAGGACAGTCCCCGGCGAAATTGGTGGTGGAGTGTGACCGCGAATCCCAGGAGGAACAGAAGCACGTCGATCATTGGATGAGGCCAAAGCTGCTTGAGTCGAGGACCATTCCTCTACTTGAGTTTGGAAATGTCTCACCGTGGTGGTTGGGAGGAATTGAACGTGATCATAAGTAGTCGAACATCGAGCCTTCCAAATGCGCCAGTACACAAAGACTAGCCGGCTGATCACATCCTTGGATAAACCTGCATGAAAAAAGAACCACCGCCAACCCACGGAAACATGCATATTGTAAACCTGTAAGCGAAAATGATTAAGACCAACAAGGTTCCAAAAGTCCACAGCCACCCTACAGTGAATAAAGGAATGCAATAGGGTCTCTGGAGCTTCGCCACAAACAGGGCACATAACCGCCTCCAAATCCTCATCATCAATTAGTTCTTTCTCTCTAAGGATATCTCTCAAGGGAAGATATCCTTTAATGACACGCCAGAGAAAAAAACGTAATTTAGGAGGAACATTCAAGGACCACAACAAATTCCAAGCCGAAGAATCAAAGATCGGGGGAATAGTGGAAGGGTTATGAATATAATCAGCAGAGGCCACTCTATATCCTGATTTAATTGAGAACTCACCTGATTTCTCATAGTGCCACACAAGATGATCGGACACGGGAAAAATAGGAAGATGAATAGATATGATAATTCTGACCATTTCCCCATCAAATAGCAAGGTGATGAGAGGTACCTTCCAACTACCGGATCCATGATCGATCAAAGAAGATACATGGGGCCCAGGTAAGGAGACGTTGGGCAGGAGAACAGGCCGAGATGGAGGATTCGTTGGCAGCCATGAGTCTTCCAATATTCGAACCGAAGCACCCGAACCAATGCGCCAACAAAGCCCGGATTGCAGAAGAGAGCGACCCACAAGGATACCTTGCCAAGCCCAGGAAGGCCTAGAACCCTGAGGAGCAAGTAAAAAGGAAGAGTGAGGGAAATACCTGTCTTTATAGTTGATAGCTAAGAGACCATCCGGATTTTGGACAATCCGCCAAGCTTGCTTAGCTAAGAGAGCAATATTGTGACTATCAAGGTCCCGGAAACCTAGTCCGCCCTGAGCCTTTGGGCGACAAAGTTCACGCCAGAAAGCCCATCACATCCCATTCTCCTTGTCCTGGGAAGCCCACCAGAATCGAGCCAAATGGCCATTGAGACTGCGACAAAAGGTTGACGGGATACGAAAACTAGACATAGTAAAGAATAGAGCAGAAAACAGAGAAGATGAACACAGAAGAACACCAAGATTTTTAACGTAGTTCACCAACACTGATTACTCCACATCACAGAACCAGTACCCACCGATTCTAGGAGACTCTCTTATTGTTTAATCTATCAAACAACCAAACACGAATGTTGTAAAAAGACTAAATGAAAAGGAACAGAACGGTAGAAAGAAATCTCGGATCCCCAAACCAGACCCGTTACAACCTCAATCAATTAGAACCTCTACCCCTGATCGGTGAGCCCTTTTGTAAACTCCAAAGCCCTATTCCACTTTAGATGCAAAAGTTGCTACAAACAATGAAAATAACTAATATATATAGATTCTAGGAGCATCCCAACTAGTCGTTGCTCGTTGGTGATGATGCAGCAAAATAGACAACCTTCCAAATATACATCGCTTGATTTTTTTTATAAGGTTGATAAAATTAAATGAAGAGAACGGGAATCAAAAAGCAAGATTTGAAGTTCAGCAGAACTAAACTTGGTACACGAAGCAAAAAAAAAAAAAAACAATAGCATGAAAAGAGAAGGAGAAAGAGACTTCACTTGTTGTGGTCAGCATACAAGTGCAGCAACGCAAAAACAACAGGACCCTGAGGAAATGAAGGTCCTCAAGAAAAGAAGAAGGAAAAGAAGAACCCATGTATCACAATTGCTCATCTTTCAAAGTGTGTTCTCAACCACTCAGAGCATTGTGACCTACTGGCTTTGTCGTGCGCCGTGATCCAATTAACAATCTCTTGAGCAATACGCCTGGCTGTGACACCAAAAGGGGTGCTGATGTCTTTAAATATGCGTATGTTGCGCTCGACCCAAAGGTGCCAGCATAGAGCAAGCAGTAGGCAGTATTTAAACCAATCATCCACACAATCAGGTGCAGATGAGGGCCAAGAGCGGATGATGTCGATAATATCACTCCCCTGCTGGTGTATCCCGCTGCATCTTCTTTTGAAGAAATCCCAGATACTCCTGGCATATTCGCAATTGATAAGAAGATGGTTTTGGGATTCTTCATCCTTCTTACAAAGCTCACAACAGTTAGCAGTGACCCAACATCTTCTCTTCAACCTGTCGATCGTGGGAGTTTTACCATGGCGAACAGTCCACATGAAGAAGCAAATCTTCGAGGGGATAATGCTTTTCCAAATCGCTTGGAAAGGGAAATCAGGAACTCCCGGGAAGTAGCCATCGATGATTTCTGCTTTCCATTTGTGGTTGAGTCAATCTCTGAATTTCAACCAAACAATCTGTGATAATGGATTCGCAATTATGATTTCTTATCTTTCCAAATTCGACCAACAATCTCCCTCTAAATCAGAGTTTGCGAATTGATAGGCGCCCGCAAGGCTGCAAGCATATACAGAAACCTCTTGTACCAGAATAATGTAGAAAGATAATGGGCTAATACCACTAGGAAATTCGAACTATCAACAATGTGTCATTTGCATCCCGAACTATTCAATATGACATTTGTGTCCTGAACTATTTTTTCGTTAGTGTTGACTGGCGTTGGCCGTTAGTATTTAACTAGAAAATCCAGTTAACAGTGATGTGGCATCTGGCATGGAATTATAAATTTAATTTGTATTTAATAAAATAATTAAAATAAAAAACAACGAAAGTAAAATCGCTCAACCCTCTTTCTCGATCCCTCTCCCATCGGCCATTTCATCACAATCGACTTTTCCACTTCTCTGCCTTCCACCGCCACCATTCCTTCCCGGACTCCCTCGCTTTTAGACAATTATTTGCATATCATCTGAAAGCCTAAAAACACAGAACCCTCTCAATTCTCAAAGATAGAAACAAGATCTAAGAAAGCATTGTCTCCCTTCATCTTCCTCTTATTCTTCGAACAAACACATTCTCAACCAAGTTTGACAAATCGCTTGGCCATTTGACCTTGAAGCCCTTCTAAGTTTCCATTAATTTGTTATGCTTTTATCTTCAGTTCTAGCTGCTGCAAGATGGCCAGATCTACCTATTGGGACTGCATG